AAAATGGGCAAAATTCCATTACCACCGAATCAAACTCATAAATTCGATTTATAATTCTAGCAGCGCATGCAAACAGGGTATATATATATCCCAGTTGATACGCTATTCCAGGGCTTGTGTTTCCTATCATGATTTCCTTGATAAAGGGTTGCTGCTCACAAGGAAGCTATTAAACCAAGAGTTCCAAGTGGTGAAGTTGAAATCATCCCTTCGTAAATTTACGGACGCTATCACGAGTTGGTTGACCGTTATGGAATATCCATTTCACAGATGATAGCGGATATGTGCCAATTGTCCCCTTTTACCCTAATGTGACATACCGAATTATTACCGGGTTTAGTACTAACATCAGCAACACGACGGGTATCGCATGTAGAGCAGGATATGCTTACCCTTCCGGAGCACCTGAGATCACCCCTAGTTTTTGGATGGGTTCGTGTTGCTCAGTCTTTAGTTTTCCATGTTGTGTTTGTGTACTGTTGTTTGTCTGTTGGTCTTTTTCTTTTTTAGCCATGGTGTTGTCAGTTTATTTTCGACTTATGAGTTTGAATGTCCTTTGGTATCTTTCCTCTCCATTCTTCTATAACAAAGCATTACAAATTTCAATATGAAACAATAAACAATAAGAATGAAATCGCAATAAAATATCAGCATTTCGTGCGTATTTTTGGACTAGGCGCCATCTATTTAACTATCGAGAAAAACTACAAAGTCTGCCGAAGGTCATATTAATTGACATAAACATAAATACAAGTAGACAGACATGCAAGTGCAATTGCAAAATGATGATTTCCTAGGTCTGATTGGTTTTATGTCATAGATATAGAAAAAAATGTAAATCGATGTTTTACCTATATAAGAAAGTTGGGGTTTTAAGTCAATAAATTGGTTCTTCCTGATGATTTCTTTGTTTCGCTTTTCAAATTTGACATTCTTTTCTTTTAAATAACTGATCAAATAGACAATAATATATTGGCGATGTTTATTGGCTTTTTTTACCAAATTGGACAAAACTGGCTGCTAATACCGAATTGTTATTTAAATATTCCGCTTTTATTAATGTTTACAGTACCCATGAAAATCGGATACGAGAACAATTTTGCACACCAACTTTGCCGATACACCGTACAGGTCGCTGTAAAAGTCGCAGTGAAATTCCCTGATACCAACATTCTAGTTCTTGGTGTCCAGTATTATTATTCCTTGAAAAACACATCGGAACTTTGGTTTGAAACAGGAAAAGGTTGCAAGACAAGAAGCTTTATATCAGTATATGAGTTATAGCTTTTTTTTGCATCTCTTCAACAGTCAATTTGCCTTCAGCACATGCAATTTCAGAATAAGACCCCACATTTACCATGTGTGGCATAGGTAGGGTGGTTTTCAATGCACATAAACAGATGTAAGTGATTTGTACTTTTAAGTAAGCCTTGCAAACTGTGATATTGATATTGGACTTCCTAGAATACATTGTCTGTACTTGAGGTAAATATGTGCATGTGCTTCAAAGAAAGTTTGCGTTTTACGTGAATGTTGATGTGCAGACCTACCTTTGTCCATGCCAGTCAAATGAAATTCGAACAACTGTATCACTAACTTGTCAACACTGGGGTTGTTTGTTCGAATCCTACACTTGACAGGTGCGTTCGACTTCAATCTTAACTGACTAGGATTGTCGGTGGTTCTCTCCGAGCACTCCGGCTTCCTCTGCCAATAAAAACTGACCGCCCCGAAATAGCGCAATATTGCTGGGAGTGGTGTTAAATAAAGGCAACAGTAGTATACCGCTGTTCAATAGTCATAATTCGATTAGGCAAATACAAATCCGGGTAACAATCTAAAACCGAGTAAACACATAAACTATTAGAGGAAAACAACGGAACCACAGAAACACTGAACTACAACAAAAGCAAACGCCTACATACATAGAAACGGACTGTCTGATAGCAACTGCCATATTTCTGACTTGGTAAAGACATTTTAAGAAAAAATGGTGGATTGAACCTGGTTTGATGGCTAGCCAAACCTCCTGCTTATATTGCAATGTTAATAATACCGCTAAAATGACAACACTACGTGACAGGAATACAGTACAAACAAACGCAAAAACACCCAGCAAGGAGAAATACCTAAATAAATAATATAATAGTACATTACAACATGTAAACCGCAGAATAACAACGGACACCTCCCATGAATTTACGACAGCACACCAGGACACCACAAACGAAATATAAACTGCGCGTAACATGAATGGATCAACGTCACAAAAAATGACGTTTTTTTTGTTGTGAAATTTATATTATCACAGGTAAATTTCTGAAAATAAAATAGATTTGTTTTATATATAGACACGTACACGAATATTAAATTGGGATTGAATTTGTAATGGTGTTACTTTATGTATTTTGTAACCATGACAAGAATATTAAAATGGAATTGTGTTTGTAATGGTGTTATTATTTGTATTTTCTAACCATGTCGGTTTTTCTTCTAAATCAAATCTATGTATAAACAAACAAAAAAACCGGCATATATATATATATAGTTGCTTTAAACTTAAATCATATAAATGAAGTAGTTATTTTTTTATCTTAAATTGTTCATACATAAAGAAAATAAAAATAAAATAACTGTAATATAAGACAAGATCATGTAAGGCCAAAGAGTAAACACACATGAAAACAAACAACATAAAACAAAAACCCTGTAGACGAACCACGAGTAACTCGACTATACTGACAAATAAGACATATGTGAAATGTACCGAAAATACAGAATTCAAACCACAAACGAAATAAACAGACAACAACTCAGCACAAAATGACCCACCTAACCCACACGTATAAGAAAGTAACAACAAAATGCCCGAAAGCGGGATATATAAATACCGAACCACGTCGTCTCCAATCTCCAATAGCGAACATAAGACATAACGAAATATCTAACCGGACTTACAAAAGAAACACCATAACTAAATACATGAATGTTAGATATATAAATACCGAGACACGTCGTATAGCAATGCGAATTCACATTTGGCAAAACAGTCATATTCGGGAATAGGTCACGTTCGGTACTAAGCAGACCAGACGACGTAGATGGTAAACCACAATCTAAGACGTGGTAAAAATGTCTTTAGTTAGATAAAACACAGACACATCGTATAGATCAACCAATTCGTGATGGTGTCCATAAAATTTACGGAGTGTCGTTTTTAATCTTTCCTCCTCATACTTCTGTTGGAGCAGCTTTTGCGTAAGGAGCACACTCCTGTATATGTCTAAGGCCAAAATCGCGAAAACAAAGCCCGACACGAAAATAACCCGATATACGGTATATATACGATTGAGGTATATGATCGGTAAGAACTTTTGAAAGATATAATCTTGTGACCACAGTTATAAACAATAAATGTAATAACAGTGTGCATGTATAGTTACTTGTCAGATAAATGTAACAACAGTGTGCATGTATAGTTACTTGTCAGATAAATGTAATAACAGTGTGCATGTATAGTTACTTGTCAGATAAATGTAACAACAGTGTGCATGTATAGTTACTTGTCAGATAAATGTAATAACAGTGTGCATGTATAGTTACTTGTCAGATAAATGTAACAACAGTGTGCATGTATAGTTACTTGTCAGATAAATGTAATAACAGTGTGCATGTATAGTTACTTCTCAGATAAATGTATTAACAGTGCATGTGTAGTTACTTGTCAGATAAATGTAATAACAGTGTGCATGTGTAGTTACTTGTCAAATGAATTTAATAACAGTGTGCATGTACATTAAAATATGTTTGTCAGATACTAGTAAATGAATGAAAGAGTAATGGGCTTAAAGATAATTGTCTAAAATATATAGAGAACTTTCCTAGAAATGAACTTCCGATAGGGTAAATATTGATATTCTATCACATCATGTTAAAACATCACTGGCTCAAAATTTTTTTCTATAGTTTAGACATTCAAATCTTGCCTTCGTGTTTTCTATTTGGAAATATCAGTTACTGATTAAATTCATGTTTTAGGATAAGTAAGCATTTATGACTGGCAGAGGATTTGATAGTCAATTCAATCATACTTACCATGTATAAAATAATTATTGCATGTAGCTTCAAGAAATAAAGTAATCTCATGAAAATTGTATTAAAGAGAAGCAGTTATTCTTTTTATCTCGGCATATATCAGGTTTCTTCCATTTTGTGCAGACGCTTGGGACTTCAGTCAAACTTAAGTTGAAATTATGTTGACATTCCAGTGATACTGGAGAAAACGGATAGTATTTATGAAATCCCAAATGGCTAGCAGTATAACTTCTTGTGTCTGTGTATAACGTAGGCTGTATGTATCCTTGCTTATAACATTTATGTGGTGATATTTTATTCATGTGAGTTTGCATTGCCTTGCCATAATTTATTATCATTGTTTCAATTTGAATCTTCCCTTTTATATGTTCATTTTCTTGTTAATAGTGATAATCTTTGTTTGCTGTGACAATTTTCTTATTATACGTGATGGTTTAGTTTGGGTCTCCCTGTAATCTATTGTCTCAGTTCTAACTTTTGAAAGTACATTACATAGGCCATTCCTGTTCTATTACTTTTCATGCGTTTATGGCAGCGAGGTCTTGTTTTCATAATGCTTTGCACATATACAATGTAGGTTACATCAACGTTGATAAACTTTTAATTTGTTTAACTTTGAAATTTGTATGACAACAGAAACAATGTCAATTTGCTGGATAATGATATATTCTCAAGCGACCAATCAAAACTTGTTATTATCATCGTTGGAGGAATAGTGTGACAACAGGAAAAGACATAAATACAACAAGAAATTTTAGAAAGCAATATTTTGTACATTAGAGAAAAAAAGTAAGCTGCTTAGACACCGACATATTTTGATTCGCTATAAAATGAAATCATAGAACTAATTTCTTTAGAAAAAAACAAAATTATAAAATTTACATAATAAGAATAGCAAGTCATCGTGGTTTAATAGTGTATATTTTAAATTCACTTTCATATTTTACAGATTATTGCATATAAACTTATTTTTTTCAGTATTTTGAATTATAAGGTGAATTACACTTTTAATCAATTAGATCTAAAAAGCACCATTAATATACCCTAATACATATGTAATCTTTACAGATTATTTATTAGCTTTAGACCAAAAACATTTATAGCAATGACCGTTTTATTGCATTGCTGCAGCTATGTGGACATGCCTCCAAATTAGATATGCAGTTATCGAAACAGTCGTCCTCTTCATCCATATTTGCTATTGCATAAACAAAGTCACAGCTGTTGACGCATTTCGTAAATCTTGTTTGGCATTGTTTATGACACATCATCATCATCACTCCAAAACTCTCTGTATTTGGTATGAAAACCAGGAAACCAAACATCAGAAATACGTAGGTGCTCTTCTGGAATAAAATATTCAGATATTAACTGTACAATTCATGTAGATTTCATTATGACAATTTTTTAAACGAAATCATTTGGTTATTACATATTTCTTATTTCTTATTACTTTTTCAATTCCTATAGTACAGTACATATGCAATGAATTATCAAAAATTTGTAGAACGGATTACCAAATTTTTTATAACGATTTCATTAATTTATCATTACAGATTTGATTTATGATTGTTAGAACAACAATGCAACTGTGTTGTTTAATCTATATCCGAAATTACATTCTTTTTATCTTTTTTTAATTACCGATTGAACATTTATAAATCTTGTGCGTCCGAAGCGCTTTTCTATATATGCCTTCATCAGGAATACTCGAACCAAAAAAAAAATGAAAGCCAAAGATGCAAAAACACATGAAAGCGGGAGAAGCTGTATGAACAAAAGGGACCTAAAAACAATAGCAAAATATATCTAAAGGTCAACCATGCCTGACGGAGTAGGGACCTTTTTTTTTTTAAATAATATCCACTGATAACTAATGAAAGGTAAGTTACCAATTGTATATTCGATATATTAAGAATTTAATCTGTAATAAGGCACTTTACAAATTGCAATTAGAAATTTTAGAATGCGTTTTTACGGTTAGCTATATCGAACTTAAAATAAAAGGAATTGAAAAAAAAATCGTAATTACAAATAAACGAATCGCGTAACAGGTGATGCATCATGCATGCCAGGAGGTGATCACCTGTCGTGCATCTCAGTCTGATTTGAGTTCATTCAATTCGATTTATCTTCACTCACAATTTTCCCTACTTTGTAAAAGGGAGGCGAAAGATACCAAAGGGACATTTAAACTCAAAAGTCGAAAATAAACTGAAAACGCCATGGCTAAAAAAGAAAAAGACAAACAGACAAACAACAGTACACAACATAGAAAACTAAAGACTGAGCAACACGAACCCCACAAATAAATGGGTGTGATCTCAGGTGCTCCGAAAGAGTAAGCAGATCCTGCTCCACATGTGGCATCCGTCGTGTTTCTCATGTAAGTACAAACCCGATGATAAGTCTAATTCGGAAGGTCATATTCGGGGGAAAAGGGACGGGATTATAGTTACAACAATTGGAACATATCCGTCGTCATTTGTGAACAGATATTCCATAACGGTCAACCAACTCGTGATGGCGTCCGTAAAATTTACGAAGGGATGATTTCAACTTCACCACTTGGAACTCTTGGTTTAATAGCTTCCTTGTAAGCAGCAACCCTATATCAAGGAAATCATGATAGGAAATACAAGCCCCGGAATATCTTACCAACTGGGAGATATAATGTTGCTACATAGAAATGGAAAGTTCACAATTGGGAAGCTGAAATCATCTCTGTAATCTGGACTGATGAAACTTGCTCTAAACATCGGCCAATATACATGTGTTCATTTTGGTGCGACACTTAAATAGTTACATCGAAGAAAATTTGAACTAGGATAAATCTCGGAATAACAACGTATTTATCAACAAATTGATGCAAAGTTATCAGATTCCTGATGTAGTAATAACTGTTTCAGTTCGAAATGTAGACTCATTATCAAAATTCAAAATAAAATTAAAAAACACGGCATTCGGAATGAGAATCCATCTCAACATCATTTAAATGGACCTAGAAAAATTGAATATAATCTGAACCCAATTTAGATGTTCGGCATCTTTCTTGAATTGTAAATTATTTAGAGCTAACATTATATCTGATCCAGCATGAAGATGTGGATTGGATATTGTGGAAATTTTTTCTTTTATTGTCCTTTCTATTTGAATAAAAGGGCAATTCTGTCTAATGGTCTCTGCTGGCTTCCCGAAGGCTGCAATTTGGAAAAACAACTATTAGTTTTTTTAGAAAGATACTCTTTCCTATGATAAAAATTTGCAAATTGTTAAATAAGTTTTAAATTCTATAAAGAAATCAAAAAGATTCCTCGTGGTATAATATCAATATAAGTAAAACGCACGTCATCATCATTATCATCATCATCCTAATCTCTGTCGTTCTTTCTTTACCTCCTTTCCTTTTTTCAGTATAGTTTTAATAATATTTATGTTGTTTATATTATATAATGCATGCTCACATTCAATTTGTATTGTTATACATATTGTATTGTGGAGAAGACTTCATAAGTATGTTTTACTTGTGTCTGGTCCTTTTTGCTTTGAGCGAATAAACTATGTTTTAAATTAAACTAAAGTGCTTGGGCCTTATCTGTCTGAACATCCTTTAGTCATGTACATTAGAACTATATTAACTAGCGTTTGATAAAAACGATTTATAGACGTGTATAATGATGTCTAGCTGAAAAGAATCGACAAGTTATTCTCTCAATGCATACTTAATTTCAAAATATGCTGTATTTCATTGCAAACATTTAGCTCTAAGAAAACCAAAGCATGGTATATCCATTCCTTGAGAAATTCAGGTGTAGATAGTGTCATATTTGTCTGATAATTATATCTTCGCTTAGCTTGTTGTGATAGTGTGGTCGTTCGTCTTCTCAAAACTCCTTCCAAACCGGTGTATAAGTACCGAAATAGAGCTATATGATCAAAAAGGATCTAAAGTAATAGTCAAATTCATCTGAGAGATAAAAACAAAGGATTGGGTATCCATCCATGACACAAAATCAGTACATGCACAGCAAAAAACACACAAAAAGCAAAGCACTGGCTGAGTCAACTTTACCTGAGGAAGTTAAAACCTCAGTTTCTTAATAATTTCTAAATTTACTTCTGGTTAAGAATAATTTTTAAAGTCTTCCATAGCAAATCACTTATTGCATAATGTATAAACATGGCAATATGAGCGCTAAAAGTTTTTATCTGCCATATCTTCCCGCGCCTTTCCAAATTCAGAAACGTCGTCAGTTGTCTTTTTTAAAATGAGGAGATGTGGTATGAATGCTACTGATGATGAGACAAATGTAGACTCATTATCAAAATTTTAAAATAAAATTTAAAAAACACGGCATTCGGAATGAGAATCCATCTCAACATCATTTAAATGGACCTAGAAAAATGGAATATAATCTGAACCCAATTTAGATGTTCGGCATCTTTCTTGAATTGTGACTTGTTTAGAGGTAACATAATATCTGATCCAACATGTAGATGTGGATTGGATATTGAGGACATGCGCCATTTTTTTCTTTTATTGTTCTTTCTATTTGAATAAAAGGGCTATTTTGTTTAATGGTCTCTGCTGGCTTCCCGAAGGCTGCAATTTGGACATACAACTATAGGTTTTTTGGAAAAGATACTTTTTCCTATGATCAAAATTTGCAAATTGTTAAATAAGTTTTAGTTCTATAAAGAGAGCAAAAAGATTCCTCGTGGTATATATCAATATAGGTGTTATTTAAAATGTTGCCTTTGGCAATTCATAATTTTACTATAACAACTTGCCAAAGACAAAATTTTAATATATAGGTAAAACGCACGTCATCATCATTATCATCATCATCCTAATCTCGTTCGTTCTTTCTTTATCTCCTTTCCTTTTTTTAGTATAGTTAAGTAATATTTATGTTGTTTATATTATAAATTGTATGCTCACATTCAATTTGTATTGTTATATATATTGTATTGTCGGCGTAAAATAATGACAGATACCCGACGATCGGTTTAATATAGAATGGTAATATGAATAAAAAGAGATGTGCGTAAGGGATCAAACTGTAATAAATGAGATTTATTCATAACATTGTTAGGTTGAAGACGATCTTGATCTGTATATGTTTATATACGTTTTATATTTCTAAATAGATTTTCCTCCTTTTACAGTTTCTGTAGACTTATCTTTTGGAATGAAAACTTCGGTTGTCCATTGACAATATATGATGACCATGTCCATTAGAATACCCAATACATGACAAGAATCCCGACAAATAGCTGAGATAACCATCGTTCTACACCTGTATCATTACATTAACGGTAATAGATAGATATCATAAAACTTTATGTGATTTGTTTTAGTATTAGATGTAAGCCTCTCATATTTGATGCCCCTCAGATATGAGAGGATTACATCTGATTTACATAGAAGTAATAAATATTTTTTTGTTTCACTTGTTTTAAAAAGAACAATTATAGTTTTGATAAAACAGGAAAATTGTCATTATCTGAAATTTTCCAGATGCAGTAACACTTCCTTCCAGAGGATGTTTTGTAGTTATGGATTTGGAATTAAATCTTAATTGGGTCTATTTTTCTGTCATCAAATTGATACCTCGTCACTATTTTGTATGGCAATATGAATATCTCTGTATTATCTTGTCTTTTTCTGGTTTAATTGCCAAAATCTGTATTTTTTGCTGCTAAATGATAACATTTGTAAATAGATTTGTCGAATGTGATTAAACGATACACTAAAATTTAATGCATAATACGTCAGATAGTAATAGCAGAACTCTCGATGTCATATAATGTATACTGTGACTTGGTGGACCTTAGATCCTATGGCGGCTAGCCATATCCGGAAAAATGTCCTTTTTTGGTTTTGGTTTTTAGTCTTATTGTGGAACTCTTCAATATTAAGATACAAAAAAGTATTTGTATGCATACAATATATTCGGTGTGAGCCTAGGCTCCATGTTGAAGGCCGTACTATTACTGTTTACTTTTTATACATTGTGACTTTGATGGAGAGTTGTCTCATTGACACTCATACCACATATTCTTATCTATAATTGTTTTAGTCTATATTATAAATGTATACAAACCAACAATGGCAACATGGAAAATGGCCCTACATTCATGAAATTATCCTCGACTCAGTATACATTACTGATTGCAGTTCATTGATTCCATGATTGTAAAACTATTAAAGGAGAATGTTTCTTGAAAAAAAACCTTAACTGAAGTTTACGTATTTTTTTGAAAGAATTACAGACCCCCCTTTTAAAAGTGACCATGTACTTTTTTTGTCATTTCCGAAATTAATGTCCTTTGTTACAACTCG